TAAGCCACTTCGTTGAGCTATCATTTGTGATAGTCAGGTCGCTTCTGAAAAAAGAGCTACATAGCTGAGTGAGCCTTACCTGGTAAAATAAAATAAAACAAGTTTTCAGTATATATCCGAGCCAGGCAAGGTTTTCTTGGATATCAGCATGGCTCACAGCAAGAAGGGCACTTTTCTGAGTGGAGTTTGTATGTTCTCCTCCACCTCCTGCCCCCCCTATTCTGCATGTTTTTCCTCCCAGGTTCTTTTGCTTTCTTTCCATAGCTAAAAGGCACCACGGAACTGGTATTGGACAAACTTTACAATGATTAAAAAATGGCCTGTAAATTATTCGATTGGGATTATGCAGCAGCAGCAGCCACAGCAACATCGCCACCCCATACTGCGAAAACTTGGCAGGAGCCTCCTGAAAAAGAGTCTTGAGACCCGATGAGGCTCTCCTGTGTAAGAAAATATATCTGAGCCAGGCAAGGGGGTACGTGAGCCAGGCAGGAGTATGTGAGCAAGACAGGAGCCCCCATGTTCCATCGCGCGCTTCCACACTCCGGTGCTCGGCTGCCGCTCCTGACATTCCGCGTAGCGTCGCGAACACCGCCGTCGTTGCACGTGAACCCTGACCTCTGTCACCAGCGTGCAAATTCGTGGTGGCTCGTTTGGCTCGGCGAATCCGAGGCCCGTTGCGGTTTATCCCACCAGGGGGGGCCTCCTGGCGCCGTGCTCTCGTGCGCCGTACAGGATGGCGTGCGCCACGGTGAGGGTGAGATGGCGCCGTTGACACGGGCCGCAGAGGGGGTGGTGGGCGGGGGGCGAGCGATATCGGCTCCGAGCATCTATCTGGCAGCTCCCGGTGCATTCCTGTGTGTGGCCCCAAATGGTGGAAGTTGGGACGGACTCCGATAATTTGTGTTCGCTCGGGATGGACGGCCGGGCCAGGGAAACTCACCGCGATGCTGAGCGGGCATCGTTCGGACATGTGGCCCCAGGCGCGGAAGACGACGATGGACAAAAAGTTCATACCGTGAACGTCGAGGGAAAGAGAAAGATGGATGGGGAGACCGAAAAAGACCTGGAGAGAGGTTTTCAACGAGGTGGCGGTGGATCGAAGACCGTGGAGGAGAGGGAGAGGACTCTGAGATTGGACCCCACCCGTCGTGCGACAAGACGAAGAGGCGTGATCAGTCCGCTGCTGGATGAAGCTGTCGCCATGTTCCCACCGTCCTGCGATGTAATGATCCACGGAAGCGCCTGTACATGGCGGATGCTCAGAAGGACGTTGGGTGACAGATAAAGGGACACGTAGATTGAGAAGAAAGGCAGGTTAAAGACATCGTATTGACTGTTAAGAAAGTAAGTGGCCTTGGACAGGACACGTCACGGCTAGAAGGAACGATGCCCGGTGGTCGAGACTCACGACGGAATGGCAGCCAAGGAGGGAACGTGCCCGAGAAGTTTTATCTGTGTAGATTTTCTTTTTTCTTTTACACCGCAGAGGTTAATGCGTCCGTCTACGAGGGTTTGTTTGCCGCTCATTGGATAAGATGTTTGTCTCGGTGGGTTTTTTCGCTGACGGTCTCCGTTGAGAACGATGTGGTCAAATCTCCAAACCGAGATGGGAAATGGAGCCAATCTCTGTTGATAGAGCGACCGGTCCTGTTCAATTCACATTGTTCATTTGTCCATGTTATTACGGCACCACGGCGTAAAGTACAATCTTGCAAACTGCGAGTCGGCCAGCCTCTCCGCCCTCTCTCTCTGCTGTGAAGCAGCTCCATTGCCCAAACATCAGCCACTTGTGTAAATGTTGATACTGCGGCCGTTTTAATGGCACACGTGGTGAGTTGTGCTTGCGCCCCACTGCAATCACAGGTCCTTCGACCGTTATGGCGCCGTGAGCCCTTTGGAGCAGAATCTGCGCGGAGAGGCATCGAGTTCCAAAAAGGGCGGCGCTGCCGCTATATTGGAGCGTCGGTCGCGTAGGTGGGGCCAGCCGTCTACCACCGGTAGTTGGGAGCCGTCTGCGAGGCGCTGCCGATGTTGCCATGCTAGCCCCTGGGGCCGGAGGAGATGGCGGATAAAGCGGCTAAATCCCGGCGCTAAAAACACGCAACTGCTCGGCTTTAGCCCCTCGCGGGGGGCCCCCCCATGTTTTGATTGCGGGGCAATTGGCCGAAATGATCTGCAGCCTAAACATTTTATGCGGTCGGCTTAACTTAGGGGGCTCGCTCACTCCCTCCTGCGTCGCGCCTTACAGAAAACGCGGCGTTTGTTTTCGCGAGCCCTTTTCAAAACCGTTCTCTGTGCTTGGCAAAACACGAAGGTGATGAGCCGCAGGAAGGGACATGTGAGCAAGCGGCACGTGGAGGCACGACGCCGCGTTGTCTGCCAAAATGCCGGGCGTCTTGGCAAACCGCGCTCGGGGTTAACGGGAGGTTAACGGAGGTCGCGTGGTGGGACCAGGTGCGCGCGGTATACCTAGCGTGCGCCACCAAATCGAGGCTTCTTGGCAAACGCTGTTCCGTTGGTGATGTAATGCCGTTGCCACCGGGAGAGAGACAGAAACTGGCGGAGCGCCTGCTGGGCTGCTCGGCGAGTCACCAGGAATGGGTTTCATCCAATCGGAAGCGCTCACCGTGACTGGAGAGAGCAAAGAAGTGGAAGATGTCTCTCCATCGTCGGCCGCCACGTGACGATGAGGGAAGAGGGAGATTCCGATGCTGAAATGGTTGCTGCGCGCTTATCGCCGCTGGCCGTCCATAGCTAGTGGTGCATATTCCACCTTCCTATGACGGGGACCATTTCAATTTTAGGACAAACACTGTCTCGATCCCACATTCTTTTTTTATGCTTGGGTCACCTAATTTTTTTTATTGGCTCGTGCTGCGCCATGTATTTTTTGTTGTTGGAAATTTTAATTTAATAATTAATCTTTGCCTTGACAGTTGCCTTGGTCTCGGGCCAGGAAAAAATTGTGTTTGTCCGAGACTCCCACCGTCACTGCCGCCGCCAACCCCTCCGCTCGCGCACTCGCAAGGGAAGCAACTCTGATTCTGGGCCAGATGGGTAATTTGTGCGACGGGCCCTGGGAGGGGAAGCTGAGCGGGCCTGGCTCGCACGTGCACTTGATTACCGTGGCAGTGCGGGCGAGCGGAGGGCTTGGGGGTAGGGGGGTGCATGCGCAGCGAGGTGACGGTGGCGCGGTTGCCGGTCACGGAGGTGACGTGCGCCGTCGCTTTGATTCACTGGGGCGGCCGCCACTGTGTTGCGTTGATGCCTGGAGTGTCGCGTTCGTCTTGTCTACATGCGTGTTTCCTTGAGGGCGCGTACGTACGTGCGTGCGTGTGATCTAGGTCCCCTCCCCAGCCACGGCTAACATGAGTGATATCTGAATTGACTGAGCCTTAAATGAGTACCCAGTGCTGTGTGTAAACATGAGCACTGGGAAGATGGACGAGCGTAGTGCTGGGCACACAACCCCCTTGTGTGCCGATTAGCACGTTTGGCTATGTACAGTGCGAAAGAAGTTCAACATACATACAGTACATAGGTTTTTGCTAACAGCTCTTGCCCCAACAGTCTGTTGATGAAGATCTTTTGTCTTTTGCTCCCTTTTGCGTGCCTAGTTCTATGACGAAATTTCACCCTTCTCTTCCCACTCGAGCCCCTGCCTTTGCTCCCCGTACCCTCTCCCCCTTACCCACTTACCCCCCCCCCGTGCCATTCCCGCCCCCCCCCCCCGTGCCATCCCCCCCCCCCCGTATAATTTTCCTTGTCATCCATCCGTTTGCGCTGCAGGAATGCGGCTCGCTTCAGACTGAAGTCATTACTGCGAGCATGTGGCTACCTCCCCTGCGCCCCCCCCCCACCATACAGCCCCCCCTCCCCCCAGTGGCCTTGTTAATTCATCTCCTTTTAAATCCTTGCCAAGAGAAACTGCTCCTTATTTGTGTGACTCGGGCGAAGGTTTCTGCAGATTCCGGTTTTATGGGAGCGGCGATCTTCCGTGCGTCGTATTTAGTATTTTTTTGAACGGACCCCCATTTTTCTGTCCCGTGGAGTTTAGCATCGTCGTCATCGCCGCCATCAATCATCGTCACGACGGTAGCCGTCATCGGTCATCGTGCGTTGTCCATCCACCACCGGGTCAAGAGCCCCCACCCCACACCGTCCCCCGATCCTTCGTGGTCCTGCGCTGCCGTGATCCGTCTCCCTCCCGCACGTACGCACGCACGCACGCACGCGAGCCCGTTTCCATTGCTCCACCTCCACGACGGTTGCCCTTTTGGCTGCCGCTCCGTTGCGATTTCTCAATCCCTTCCAAGCGACCTGTCCTGCCAAGCTCAATTATTTTGGTTGGTTTGTTTTTTGACAGACGCCACGGTCGGCGAGACGTGCGTTTAATCAAAACCGAATGCGGTGTGTGCCGTGGCGTGCCAATGATCGCCGTGACGGTGTGGGCCTCGTTGTCGTTGTCGTCGTCGCCTCCGCTGCGCTTGCAGCGCTGTCATGCTGTGGCTAAATCAAAAACCTTGCCTTGGCTCTCTCCGCGTCATCATCAACCATGGTCTCTCCACTGCTGGATGAAACCATCGCTCGCGGCCTTGCGATGTAAAGGTGCGTCGAGAGCCTGCACGTGCTCCCGATTTGATCGCTCCGTGTCTGCTGGGCGACGGCCTTTTGGGGCTCCCTTGGCTGCCACTCCCTCATTAGTCTTGATCAGCGGCCTCCGTCCCTTCCTGCGACATCACCTGCCTGAGCCCGTTGAATGTTCTTATCAGCCAATAGGATTGCCTCTGATTTGCGTATGTTCTCGAATGCTGTACATGTGTTGAACACTGTTGTGTTTGCCCCTTTGTTTCCTTGTGTTGTCCCCGTGCCTCCTTGTGTATCCCTTTGTGTCCCTTCCATGTCTCCCCTCCGCGTATCCCCACCCCCTCCGCCTCGTGCATGTCCCCCCGTGTGTGTCCCGCCACCGTGTGTCGTCCCCCGTCCCCGTCTCCCAGTGTTCCCGTACTTCAAGATGGAGCCGGAGAACACGACGGTGTACGCGGGCGACTCGGCCATGTTTCACTGCCAGGCGCTGGGCGACCCCGAGCCGAGCGCGCAGTGGAAGGTGCGAGGGCACATCCTCAACTCCAACGAGCCCATTAACAGGTAGGAGGCGCGTGCACGCTCGCACGACGGGCGCCGCAGTTCGCCGTTAAGTGGCGGTGACCTCGCCACGGCGCTTTTTGCTGGGTTAGGTGCACGTTGGGGTCCACGGGAAAGTATCGGAGGTTCACTGGCAGGAGGTCGCGGGGACAGACCCATGTGTTATGGGTTAACTGATTGTGACCATCGCTCCCCTCCGCCCTTTGTTGTTGTTGGACGGCGACTGCCTCCAACTGTCCCAATTGCCTCCTTCACAGAGGCTGATCTTGACACCGCTGGTTCAATAAGCTCCACATCCTCCTGTACCACATCAAAGACAAAGATCCTCCTGTAGTCACAAGAGACTGCTGGGACAAGTGCTGCTAGAGAGCACCTATGAAGGCCGGCATGGCACACGAGCGGGTGATGTGGCCAGCACCATGCCTGACCACCTTTGTCTCTCCAGTGCTTATGCTCACACGCCACATTTGAGGCCGAGTCGATCGAGGGGAGGCACGGGACCGCTTCAGATAATTGTCATTGGTGTTGGTGGCATTGAGCGGGACTGGAACTCGGGTGAGCGGGAATCGAACTTGAGTCACCGGGGTTCGTAGTGCGGTGCGCTCACCGCTGCAGCACACCGCTCCTGACGACACTCGCCCAGGCACGCGCATCCAACAGCTCAATGCTGTAATTAAGGCCACGCAAGACGCGGCTAGAGTGGGACCATTTTGCCATCATCATCATCGTCATCGCCGCCTTGAGAGTGTTCCGGCGCTGCCCACGGGGCCGTCTCCCCGCCGTCTCCTGCTGCTCCACTGTCTGTTGCTGCTCCTCCCCCCTTTGTGGTGCTGCTGTGCCATCGTGTGCTGCCCTTCCTATCTTCAACTGCCCCTTGAATTTCATGTTGCGCGTTTGTTTCCCGCTGCCCATCTCTGTCATGATCACCCTGCTTGTCTGCTCATGAAAATAATTTGTTTTTAGTGTCGCATTGTGGGATTTTGTTGCCATGACTGACGCTGTATAAACTTAAAGTAAAATTATCGTGCTGCCCTCCTTAACCGCGGGGCATCTCAGGGCGCTTTGCGCGTGGTAAGCGATTTGCAACACATCTCACCTCGTCACATTTGAATGGGCACCCCCAGCGGCAGCTGCCCCTGTGCACCGCGAGGTGACTAAGCACCTGGGCTGCAAGCGGGCATGGGTCTGCCAGGAGGTGCCGATGATTTCCGCCGTGTGTAATCCCTATTCGAGTAATTTGCAGGTAATTTTTCAACTTGCCAGATTTTGACCATTATGCAGGCTCACAGTGGCCTTCTCATTTCGAATGGCGTCAGGGGATCTTAAGCGTCCGCCGCAAAGCAGGCGGCGCATAAAACATCTTGATTAGTACTCGCCGCAGTCATAATCGGGGGCGGCCTGCCGGATTTGACGAGCGAGCCTGTGCAAACTCGCGGTGACTGTGCTACCCCACTGGGCTATGTCAAGTCAATCTAGATCTGAAGTTTTCGTGACTGCAGTAATCCATACTCTTTGGTTATTTCGGTAAAGTCACGTAGGTAGAAAATGAACTAAATTAAACCACGCCGTTTCGGAAGCAACACAAGCGTCCGTCATCAGGTGGAGCAGCCACAGCAAGAAACAAATTGTTATAGTGGGCAAAAGAGCTGCTTGTGACAAGAGGCTATATAAGGCAATAGAGGGGGAAGGAGCCAGGGAGGAGAGATAGAGAGGGTGGGGGTGTGGAGTAGGGGGAGTGGAGCTCTGCCACTTGCATCGCAAGTACGACACAATGCCGGGGCTGGGCAGTGAGCGGGCCTGGGGGGTAGAAGGCTGAAGAAACTGGAGATGCGGATATGAAGGCAAACTATAAAGCAGTTAAGGTTTTACCTGGTTAATAACATCCTTCCAATGATTGCTTAATTTGTATCACTACAGCAATTTGTTTCTTGCTGTGGCTGTTCCACCTGATGACGGACGCTTGTGTTGCTTCCAAAACGTCGTGATTTAATTTATTTTATACCTACGTGACTTTACCGAAAGAACCAAAGACCATGTCAAGTCGCCTACTGCTTGCCCTCTGTCTCTAGAGAGACGGGAACCGGGAACACATGTCTTCTAGAACAAACACAGGTTAGAGACATCGTGTTTGCTGTGAGGAAGAGTGAGTAGGGCTTGGGCGGGAAACGTCACGGCTAGGAGGGACGACGGCCGGTGGGTTCAGTCCCACGACCAAGTGGCAGCCACAGGAGGGAAGTCGCTCAAGAACGACATCCACCGCAGCGATGGAGCAATGAGATCACGTCGCGGGGCAGGAGCAGGATAGAATATCGCATCACAGTTTCAAGAGGTTGACGATGTGCTTGGGGGGGGGGGGAGGCATTCATCCAGCAGCGGATATAATCACGTCTGATGGTGACTGCCATCTTCAGACGCTCTCTGAAACCCCCCCCCCGCACGCTGCACCTTTGTTCATTGCCACCTCCGCCCGCTTTCTTGAGATGCCGCCCCCCGTCTTGCGCTGCCGCCCCCTCTTTCTCTGCGCACCAGAGCCGCGCCTCCCGCTCCCTCACTTCGGTCGCGACGCCAACAAAGGCACACGTGGCGCGGCCGAGACTTAAATCTCTCAACGCTTTTGTTCATCGTGATTCACATTTTGGTGTTGTGGGAGCCGCACAAGTCTGGCGGTCAGATTTATCCTTGAGCGTAATTGGCAGACTTGTAGCCATATTTATAGCCGGTGTAATCCGGTGTAAAATGACTGATCAATTGCAGAATATGCTTTTCGACAATTCGGAGGCTCGAAATTTCCGCATTGTTCACGTTGTACGGTTGCGCCAGGCACTCGAATTAAGCAACCCGGGCCGCCCCAGTTTAAACCGCGGGCGCGTTAACCATAAAATTACCGTGCACCGTTTGCTTAACGACGGACGTTGAGGATCCCGTGGTGTCATTGAGAGAGAAGGGTAGAGGCCGCGTGCGGCGACTTCGTGGAAATGTAGTTTTTACCAAGTTTAAGTCATTTCCCGCAGATTACCTGTTTGGGGAAACATGTGGCGTCCATCGCCCCCTGCTGCGAAACTTAGCAAGACGCTGTGAGGCTTTCCTTGGGAATACGAATGTTAATTAATTTAATAAAATAGAAATCCGTTTTCACACTTGCACCGTTTCTCCAAAACCTCATGTCAAATTCTGCCTGTTTGTATAAATATGGTAATTATTGCGTAGGAGAGAGTGGTGACAGTTGTTTAACCACCACATCATCAGGGTCCTGCCTGGCTAACCGCCGCTGCTGTTATTGAGACTTCAGACCGGCGATTGTGGTGGTTGGTGGTGGTAAGGCGGGGAGGTTCTAGGGGTTCAGAGCCCTGCGGGAGCAATTAACATATGCGTGGGGAATGGCAGCGCGGTAATTAGCACACTGCACTATGATCTCGTCAAGCTGGATTTGATTCGTAGCCACGGCTAACATCAGAATTGGTCCTGGGCACGGCGCGTAAACATCAGCGTTGGGCAGACAAATGCGGCCGGGCGTGGTGTTGGGCTCTCCACCCTTTAGTGCGGCGTGCCGCCCTGTGTAGGCGCTCCTTAACAGCACTTGCTTCTTCAGGTTAAAATCTACACGGGTGATCTTTGTCTTTCTTCGGGGTTACTGGGACATGTGGCAAGGGTCTTGGCTCACCGCGGCATCACGTGGGGGTGGCAGCCACTCGCACAAATTAGTCTGGCTGCCTCCCTCGTGTAGAGCGCGCCGAGGCTGCGTGCAGCGATCGTGAACGTGACACAGAGCGCCACACAGAGGTGCAGGATTAGCGCCTCTCGGGCAGACGGGCGCTGTGTGGCGATGGGGTTGAGGCCGCCACGCTGGCGCGCAGCGCTTTGGCCGTCTGCTGCAGTGGTGCTCCTTTGTCTTGCGCGAGCAGCACTTGACCAGTTTCAGCGGTGTGTGTGTGCTTGAGGCTATACAGGGTGATCTTTGTCTTTGCGTGTGCTTACATGAGGAGCGGTTGTGTATAGGTTGGCGCACTGCGCTACGAACCTGGCAACCCGGAGTTCGATTCCTGCTCACGGCCAACACCAGTGATATTTATCTAAACCGGTCCTGGGCCTCCCCTCGTTCGATTCAGCCTCAAATGAATACCTGGTGAGATGTGTAAACATCACCACTGGGGAGACAACGGCGGTCAGGCATGGAGTTGGCCACTCACCCCCTCGCGTGCCGTGCCGGCTAAAGCACTTGCCCCAACAGTCTGTTCAGGCTAAACAGGGGATTTTGCCTTTGGTTGGTGCACTGCATTTCTATGGTTTAAAGTCTGTGTGTCTTGCCTGCACTGACCGACATTCATGGTGGTATACGGTCTAATAACCCACATGGGCCACATGGTGCATGGAGGCCATCATCCAGCAGTGGATTGAAAATGGGCTGTACACGTTGCCCCTTCCACTTGCATGGTGATATGGACACTGAGGAGTGTTCTAATGATGATGCTGGTATTTATATTGCACCCGTAACTAAACGTAATGAGACGTCTCGAGGGGACCTCCTAATGGCAGCTGTCCCTGGGCAGCACAATGCAGACTCGGCCTGGCAATAGGGTGGGGGGGGGGGGGTGATGTTGCTTTTGGTTATTCCATTTCATTAATTTTCGAGTCATTTATCAAATTTGGGCAAATGTGTTCTGCCTCGAGTGTTCGGCTCGTTTTCTTCGCATGTGCCCAAAGCGATTGATCCTCGCGCGCACGGTGCGACGCTCGCAAAGATCTATTTTTATCAGCGCCGTCGTTACACTCCCTCCCATCCGTCAGCGTTCGCTTTCGCCGGCTGCCCCGGCGGCCGGGGGAGACTTGTGCGACTCGCGTCGTTCCGGGCCGCGCTCCCTCGCGAGAGCCGCCTATTGTAATCTCGGCGGGGCGCGGACGGCGCGGCCGCCACCTCCGCAGGTGCGCGACGCCGCGCGCCGGGCGTTGTCTTACCGCGTTGAGTCGCGCTCGTTAAAACGCGACGCAGCCCGAGCGCCCCGCGCCGTCGGAGCTTTGCTCGTGAGAAAACAAGACTTTAAAGTGACTCTCGGGCGACGGTCGCCGTAGCGCCCTCGAGTGCTGTAGCTGTATCGGCGCACCGCGCGTACGGTCGTGTTGTTGGACGACGATGTCACTGGAATGCTGTCATCACGTGTTTTTGTAGCGCAATTTATTTTTCACTGAAAAAGCTTGAGACTCGTGTTGGACAGCCCCTAACACGACGTCGTTTCTCGAAGACGAGAGCTCTCTGGCTTTTTGGGTTTTGTTCTAATTTTTTGGCCCTTCGCCATTGTATTTTATGTGCTGGCAGCCTCGCATCGTGAGACGGTGTCCGTAGAAGTTTCTCATAGAGCATTGTGTCCCTTCTGCCCACAGAATTGAATATTACAGAACTATTTCTCCACGTGAACCACTATCAACACTGGAGGCGCCGCACTCTCCCACCCGCCCTGCTGGGGCGATATTCGCCGCGTGCCGGTCAAAGCGACGCTTGGGAATTTTTTTCCCGAATTCAATGAAAACAGACGTTGAATACGATTTATTTTGCGTGCAGCCATTGCTACCGCGGGCACCGGTGTGATGCAGTTTCATCACGGGCCGTCGAGGTCAGGATTCATACTCAGAAGGTTAACAGTGGTGCCGGTTCACTGCTCTGACCCTTGTCCACTGGGCCACCCCTGCGCTGTTTGTGTTTTGGATTGCGTCGTTCTTTGTGTCCGGGCTCCGTGAATGTTGCTGGACTATCGACGTGGATCATTGTCGGTGGACTTATTGGCGCGCGCCTGCGATCCGGCGCTTTGGAGGACAGGGTTGGTGGATCATGTAGAGATGTGAAAAAATGGCCGATGGTCAAGAGCAACGATTTGAGGATGCTCACTATGGAGATTTAGCAAAGGGATCGGTATTGTGTGCCGGCGCTTGTTGGATCATTCAACATCGTGAACAGATCGTGGTTGACAATGGATGACGACGATGCCTCTTGAGCTGCCCCCATCCGGCGCTGCCAACTCGTGCTGCCCCCCCGTCCGTGTCGAGGGTGCCGGCGACAGCTTGGGGAGGAGGTCTTCCCATGGCCCTGACACGGGCAACGTCAATGACGACGGCGATGTTGTTGACAGGTAGCGCCTGCTGTGATCACCTCGTGCGTGCCATCGTGTCAACTTAGCCGGGGGTCTAAGCCCGTGTCTCGGACTCCCCGTGCTAATGCGTTTAGGGCGTGGGCTTCCCGCAGAGGCTGATCGGCTCAGCAGCCTAATGCTCCGTGTTATGGCACTGAGCCAACACCGCCACCGCCCCCTTCTCCGGAGCTTGACCCCCCACCACCTCCCACCGCCACCGCGCGCGTGTGCGCACACACGTGCGCGCGTACACGCGCGCACAGACGCGCACGCAGGTGAAAAACACGCGTCGCATTCCCCCGTCAGGAAGGGTCTGTAATGGCGAAGAGCCCGATGGGATCTTCCATCTCGCCGACTCGGCACAACCGAGGCGCTGTGCGGTTTGCGGTGGAGCTCGCTTAGGCTGCAGTCGATTGGAGTGGCTGTGTTGGGAAGGGGAAGGGTGTGGGGGTGCGAGGGTGGGAGTGTTGTTGGGGGTGGAGGTGAAGTGATCTGTCAGACGAGTTCTGGCAGGGGAGGCTGGGCCGGCCGGGATGCTAAAACCACTGTCCTGCGTGCGGTGAATTCACGCCGCTTCCCTGCTTATCCCTCTCATGATGCTCCTCTGCATACCGCCCTTTTGTCAATCCACTGCTGGATGAGGGCCCTCCCCATACGGTGCGAGTAGCGGTGATTTATTTGACCATTGCTTTTCCCGCTGGCCACTTGCGGGTTGGGACGGCACATAGGTCCACTATAGCGATGGATGGCGGTCACCCATCTACACACCACCAATGCTGTATCCTCCTCCACCCTATCCTCCATCTTGCACACACGTCCATCTCATCTACAGCACTGACCACATCAAAAATGTTCTCTCGGCACCGCATGGCAGATGATAACAAAAGCATTCCGGTGCCCCCGCCCACCCTGCCCTGCCCTGCCCTGCCCCAACCCCCTGCCCCTTTTGACGCCCCCATCGCAGGGTGGAGCTGCTGCCCAATGGCTCGCTGTTGATCCGGGACGTGCGTAACGAAGACTCGGGCTGGTACACGTGCATCGCCGGCAACAAGTGCAACATCAAGCACCACGACGCCTACCTCTACATTGTCGGTACGGCGGCCGGCCCGACCCGTATCGATCTGTCGGTTTCCGTCAACCGGCTGCTGCCGCCGTTGTTGTGATTCTCATATTGTGGCCTCGGCGCCAACGCGATTCTTGGGTTGTGAAAGTGCGCACCTTGGTACCGTGCCAATAACGTGGGACCCGCCCCCCGGGGATGATCCCACGACGGTAAACATCCAGCCGAGGTGCGTCTCTGCTCTGTGAGCTTCTCGCCGCTCGTGAGACGATGGTCCAAATTTTAAATCCCTCATGGTGCGGGCGACGAGTGTAATCCGTACGAATGCCGCAGTTTGGCTTTTCGCAAAGTGGAATGATGGGCCGGGATTGAACTTTTCTGACCTTCCGCACGCTTAGGCACCCCAACTCGCCCGCTTACCCGCCCGTCCGCCCGCCCATCTGTTGTAAACTACGACGGCGCTTACCCGTAGTGGCACGTGTCCAGAATGGGTGAATTAGAATTTTTTTTATTTTTCCACGTGTCCCTCGCTTTAAAATAAATCTGCCTGAGGATTAGCGTGCACGGTTAGGTGTGGAGTCGTGTAATACGTGCCGCCGGCGGATTAGCATAAAGAAACGTTAGCCCTGGCCCACTCGGGCGCCAGGGGCCTGCGCTCGTGCCCCCCCGCGGTGCTGCAGCCAAGGGTGTCGTGCAAAGAGAGGAACACAATGGGCACACAAACAAGGGGGAAAAGCTACAGGCCTGAAATTGCTTGCTACCCCATTACACCACCGTGGCAGCTCTGAAATACAATAACCATTCTTTTATTTACCCATGAAAGCCTCACTTAAAGATGTCTTTTCACGTAAGGCCCTTCTTTATTGACAACGTTTGGCGAATTTGGTATTTCGGTGTGTGGGAGGGATTGGGAGGGTCTGGAGAAAATTCACCCCATGCACCCCCCCCTCCTCCCCCCTCCTCCTCCCAGTACGCCCACTGACCGTGCCCCCCACGGAGGAAACCCAGGTGTCCCCCTACAAGATGATCCAGACGATCGGGCTGTCGGTGGGGGCGGCCGTCGCCTACATCATCATGGTGCTGGGCCTCATGCTCTACTGCAAGAAACGGCGCAAGTCTCGCAGCTCCAAGAAGCAGCCGAGCACCGGGGAGCCGGAGACGGAACATCTCAATGGTGGGCGGCGGCGGTGGTGGTGCGGTGACGCTCTGATGGTGGTGGTGGCAGTGCTATGGTGATGGTGGTTTGCAGTGGAGGTGATGCTGCGGTGGAGGTGATGGTGCCGGTGGTGGCACTGTGGTAATAGTGGTGCAGCAGTGGCGGTATGGTGGCGGTGGTGCTCTCGTGGTGGTGGCGGTGGGGTGCGGTGGTGATAGTGGTGCTGTGGAGGTGACGCGGTAGTGGTGCCCTGGTGGTGGATTGCCGTGTCTTTTGCAGTGGTTATACAGTAAGATAAGCATTTAACCGTGTGTGTTGTTATGTTTTTTCCTGTGTGTGCGTTGTACCGTGTTGAATCTCAAGTTCTGATACAAACCTAGCAATGAGAGCTTAATTCTCTGCCACGGCTAACATCAGTTGCGATGATCTGGACCGTCCCTGGGCCTTTCTTTGGTTGACCGAGCCTTATTTGAGTACCTGGTGCAGTGTGTAAACAAAGGTGGCCAGTCATCGTGCTGGCCACACCACTCAGCAGTCGGTGTGGCTACACAGCGCGAATCTTTGTTTCTCTGTGTATAGACATATTTATTGAGTAACAAGGAGCGTTAATCTATGCGTTTGTGCATATCTACGTGCATTCGTAACATTGTGCAAGTCATTTCGTTTACGTGAACACGTGGCTGTTGTACAACAGCGGTAGGCGCTCGTGTGATCGTCCCACATTGGTGCGGTTATGCGGTTGTGTGGGTCGTCTCTCGTCAGGAGACCCCCTGCACGAGAACGGGGACGCGGTGGCGGAGCTGAAGGAGGAGGAGATTGCGCTGACGGCCGGGCCTGGCAAGCGCGCCAGCCTGCACGACCGCCCCACCGTGGCCAAGCAGAGCATCCAGCGCATTACGCTGCTCGGTGCGAGGCCGCCAGCCGGGAAACAACGCTCCCCGCTCACATTTTGTGTCTTTTATCATTTTTCTTGTCTGGTCTGGAAGTGGACATTACAAAGCTACAGTTTAATTGCTAAGTGTAAAGTGAGCGAATCATTGTGTTAACTATAATTAGCGTCAACTGGAAAACATGCATTCTTACGCCTGGGATTCGTTGCATCCATCACGAGTCTCAGGCCTAAGGTATTTCCGCCGAACCCATCGCAGAGTAGGTTATCCCCCGCCTCCTTCGGTGGCTCCTGCCTATAGTTGTGCGCCACCGTTCACCGATGGACTCGTCGTGCGTGCGCGTGCGGTTTCCCGCGAGCAGGCAAGGGCCAGTTCGGCGAGGTTTACCTGGCCAAGGTGGCGGGGCTGACGCTGCCAGCAGCGGGAGGCAAGGAGGATGACGACGATGACGACGACGACGACGAGGATGCGGCAGCACCGGCGGCGGAGGCGGAGACGGTCGCCATGGTGAAGGCGCTGGGTTCACGCGACGAGCGCGCCCAGGCCGAGTTCCAGCGCGAGGTGGACCTGTTCGGCAAGGCGAGCCACGTGGCCGTCGCGCGGCTGCTCGCCGTCTGCAAGGAGCCCCTGCAGATGGTGCTGGAGTACACGGACTTGGTGAGTCCGTGCGGATGAGCGAGAGAGAGAGGGAGAGCAGTGTTGTCGGCTTCTAAACTAAACTATTTTTTTATTTTACAAGGTAAGGCCCACTAAGCTATGTAGCTCTTTTTCAGAAGCAACCTGGCCACGAATGATAGCTCAACAAAGTGGGTTATTGCGTGAAAATTTTGGAGGGATAAACCGGAGGACCCGGAGACAAATCCACGCTACCACAGGGAGATCACATGCAAGCTCCAAATATACAGGCATCAGGGACGGGAACGAATCCACAACCTCCTATATCCCATGCGAAGTAACATCTCTCCACCGTGGTGCCCTTCTTGAAGCAGAAAGTCAGGTGGTCGAGTGACTCTCCGTCTCAGAGCGCTGAGCCGGAAACCTTGGTTCGAATTCAGGTTTCAGCAGCCTGTGATTAAACTGTGTTCTCAGATCTGTGCTGCGCTGATGGCCTCAGCCCCGGACACCAATGACTGCACACAGAAAAAAAAACCCATCACATTAAATTTAGTTTCTGCATTTAATGAATGTTCATCGCACGACAGTCAAAGCAGTATTTTTTTAATTTGGGAGCTGGAATTTAGCCAAATTAAGTGCAGAACCAAATTTAATGTGATGGCTTTTTTGTGCGCAGTCATTTGTGATCAGGCCGAGACCATCAACTCGCTTGGTACTGCCTTTTTTACTTGAACAAAAACGTGATGTATCTGACGGGATCTTCTGAAATCTATTTTGTTGTGAGATCAATACTCATCTCTTGTGACTTATAGTGGTATCATTTATCCCCAAGCGTCCCCCCCGCCTTGCGCCGCCCTAGCCACTCCAGCCATATTGGCACCAGCCGGTGTGTCGGCCATTCAGTTTGTATCCTACTCTTCTCCCCTCTCCTTCCACCCTTCCGTTGTCACTCATTCTAGATGGTCACCATTCTTTGCATTCCACCTTGAGTATATCATCTATTCTTTGCGTCCCAACAAGCGGGAGAGATGGCGACGGCTTAAACAGACTTTCGTCCAGCAGTTGATGGATCGTGGCTGATGATGACGTTTTTAGTTACTGACATTCATTATTTATCCAGCGCACCTGGTCTACTCCCGTGTGATGGTTCGATTTGTTTTTTTTTACTTCTGCTGAACCATTATCTGCAACGGAATTCAAACGCTGGACTCCTTCGCTTGCTCGTGGGGTTTTTCTTTCCAGGGGGATCTGAAGCAGTACCTGAAGCTATCCAGAGGCGACGACAAAGAGATCAAAATGAAGCCGCTCACCGCCCAGCAGAAGGTGGGAGTGCGGTTGACCTTGGCAGATGGGGGGGGTGGGTGGAGAGGGGGTGGCGGTCGCTCGGTTGAATGTCGATGGGGCGTGTGTAACCCCTACGTTGTGAGCAGCAGTAACAGCAGCATGCGGTATTGCACTATACTTCTGTGCTTCCCACTTTCCCTAGCCACCCACACCGACCAGCCTTATCTCCAGATGACTTTGGCTTGTGAATACAATAAACAATACGTACAGTACGTCCATTAACCAGATCACCCGGATCTCATCACATCTTAGAAGCTAAGCATGGTTGGGCCTGGATAGTGCTTGGATGGGTGACGACCATGTATACCAGGTGTTGTAGGCTGCTGCATTACATGGTGGGCCCAGCAGAGGGCAGTGCAGCAAATCCATTGTTATACTGTACCTCTACGCAATGGCGGAGCCAGGATTTTCAGGTAGGGGGGGCAACCCTTCCAGCAATGAAAAATGATTGAGGAGTTGTTAGTAAGTAAGGACTTGTCCCTTGCTTTTTATTCGACGCGTGTGCGGCGATGGCACAGCCATCGATCGAGGGTCGAATTCGAACCGTGTGTGATCGGCATCGCGCTCGCTGAAGGTGTTTGCCTTCAGGGAAGTCGTGTACTGTGTACGCAACTGCGCGCAATTCTGAGTCACTTATAACTGCTTTGCCGTTACTTATTGTCAATTATGGACTCAGACTATTGTCCTATCATCTCATAGAGTCCCTGGCACATAATTATATGCTACACAGTGGCAGTGGGGGTCGCAAAATGCCGATTTATTATTAATAAACCCCAATGACCCACAGCCGCTGGCCGAAGATCGTCACCAGCAGCAATATGAGCGGGACCCCATTCGCTATGACACGCACACCGTGTCTCCAGAGTACTGCCAACCGTTGACTTCCCACAAAGTGTTGCTTATTCTACACCGAGGATAATGATGGGTTGACTTATCTAAAGCTCTATTAACCCATTCTAACCATGGTTGTATGGTCACGTCGCGCTGTCTTGTATGACAGCCATTGGGTTTGCCATTTAAATTAATCGAAAAGTTAATTGGAGTTACATTTCGGTGAATTTTGATGAATGAGGGGGGGGAGGCGCTTTGTTCTTAAACTTCTGGCCTGACCCCATGACCCCCTTTGCCTCCCTGTCACCTTCCCCCTCCTTCCCCCATGACCACCGCGTGCCCCCAGCTGAGCGTGTGTGTGCAGGTGGCGCAGGGCATGGTGCACCTGTCGAGCCAGCGCCTTGTGCACGGCGACCTGGCCGCGCGCAACTGCCTCGTGTCGTCCGACAACAGCGTCAAGATCTCCTGCCCCGGCCTCAGCAGGGACGTCTACAGCAGGTCGGAATCGTCGTCGTCGTCGTAATTGTTATCATCATCATCATCAATAACATCTTTGTCATCGTCGTTGTCGTCATCATCGTCATTGCCATCTCTTGTTTGTTACTTACACCGTGCCTCCCATGCAGTGCGCAGCCCCTTGCGAGCTGTGCTGCCACCGCCATGCCGTGGCGGCACAGGCCGAAAGGCTTCAAAAGCTTGGGAAAAAGAGAAAATGAGAGGAGGGAAAGCCTCAGTGGAGCAGTGCGAGGACATAGGCAGAAAGAGAAGTGAGGTGACCGGCAGTGTGGTGGTTGAGATGATACAGTGAGTGTCTGGTACACCCGAGTCTTCAACATGGGTGGAGGAACCAATGAGTGATGATGAAGAAGGAGATGATGTTTTGTCTAACGATGATGCTGACCCCGCTCCCTGCTGAACCCCAGACAAGTCCCATGTTGGTGCTGGTCAACCGCACGCTGCTCTTGGGTTTTCGTTCCGTTTTCTTTGTCAGTGCCAACGTTTGTAAAACCACATGTCCATAGCAGGTAACGCGCACTGATGGAAAACTTATTGAATCACCGGAGGGTGAATTGTCACAGACCCAGTACCTAGGCTGTGTGTCCCGTGATGTCCGACACGATTTGGAGCAATAAAAAGACTTTAAATTCATTCCGGCACTCGGTCATAGCACTGCCGTTGACATCCCCGCCATTGACTCTGCATTCAAATTTACAGCAGCCACAGTAAGAGCGGCATCGCCAAAGCGCTTATTGGCGACACGCCAGAAAGTCACTTTAAAGTCTCGTTTTTTTTATTCTTCTTTATGAAGCGTCTAAGCCCGTGTTGGGAAAACCATGGCCGGTACACAGCCGAGGCACTGGGCTGTATCTACAAGATAAGAGCTGCGTGTGTCTGTTCCGCATTGTCTTCCCGTAATGCGGCCCCGACGCGCTCCGCACGGGGCCAGGAACGCTCGCGGTCGAGGCTGATTAAAAACACCGGCGGGGTAGTGCGTGGGCGGCGACGCCGTAAATCCCACGCAGATGCACCAAGAGAGCGAGAGAAAGAGCAAAGTATCGCACGCTCCGATGATTCTCACACTTTGTTGTTTATTGTTGGGGAGTGTTGGCGCTGCAGTTATTTATTATTAATATCACGCTTGTTGGCCCCCGGGAATGATTCATTGATTCTCAGGACCCTTTTTCAAGAGGGCCCTGCCACATTTTCACAGCAGGGAGAGATGTTGCTGCTGTGCAATCTCAATCGAGTAATTTTCGGGTAATTTTGCAGCATTGGGATGTTTGGCCATTATCAGCTACAGTGTGTGTGTGTGTTTTTGCTTATGGGAGGAAATTGGAGAATCGAGAAAAAAACCCATGCGAACAGGGGGAGAACATAAAACACTCCTCCACACAAACGTGCCCGAGGTCAGGAATCGAACCCAGGTACTTCTTACTGCACGGCACTAGTGTTACACTACGCTGCCACTCTGCCGGCCGGTCAGTGGTGCGGTTAGCATTGTGTTCTATGGTCGTGCGATGCCATTGTTTATCGGTGGCATCACTCGATCTCCGTGGCTGGGTGGCCGCCGTGGGCTCACCGGCGCAGGGCATCCAAGTCACATTTGGAAGGACGCTGTTGAACAAGAACACTCGGCACATACGTCAACAACTCTGTGACCTCGTAGGGAAAAATATATAACAGGTGATGTTTTGGGCAATGACATAAATAAAAAAGCCATGGAGACAGAGTGGATAACAATAAGGGTTGGAGACTGCTACACGCCGTGCGGTCTGATTAGATCGCTGCTAAATTGGCTTAAGCTTAGTTACCTATGAGCGGCTATTGAGTAACACAACCGCTTCAACAATCACAAAGTGTATTATGAAATAACCTAATTTGTATTACAAGCAAACGTATACAATGTGGCCGGCACATTGCATTATGTATAAACGCTATTCCGATGGATAGACTCGGCCCATCATCATCATCATCAGCATCACCCCACTGGAGTTGACAAAATGAGCACCGCCTTGTGGGACGTCAGTAAGTCGTTGATCCTTGGGTCTGAGCCAGTTTTGCAACAGACTTGAAGCAGTGTTTCAAAGTGCCAACTGTGTGTGACCAGCATGGCGCATTCGTGATGAACGGGTCTCTTAACAGTGCGCAATAACAAATGTTCAGACTTTATATTTACATGGAGAGATTTGGCCCTGCCATAGGAATGTTGAATTTGAATCATTGGCTCAGGGCCAACGTGAGAGAAGAGCACCACCCTCTGCTCTTTTGAGCGAGAGGACACCATAATTGTTGACACTAACGGTAATGTGAGATAAATAACAACAGCAAGCGCATCTATGCGTGGCCCGGCCATCTGTGTATGCCGACATAAATCTGTCTCTGCGTGTGTGCGTGCATGTGTGTACGTGCGGTGCAGTGGAGCAGCGGTTAGCGCATTGTGCTACTTCTCACTCATGCCCACTAAGACGAGTGACAATTCTCTAAACCGGTCAGTGGCCTCCCCGAGGTCGTCTCACCCTCAAATGAGTACCTAGTGTGAATTTTTACTACTGGTATTCATATTCTTGGTTCTTTCGGTAAAGTCACGTAGATAGAATTTTTTTTCTCCATTTTTTGTTTCTATCTATTGGACTTTACCAAAAGAACCAAGAATATGATCATCTAGTGTGGTGTGTAACAAACATCGCCACTGGGGAGACAAAGGTGACCGGGCGTGTTCCGAGCCACCGACCCCCTTGTGGTGTGCCCGTGACTGCCTCCATAGGTGCTGCTACTCGCTAACAGCACTTGTCCTGACAGTCCGGTCAAGGCCATACAGGGGGGGCATCTTTGTGTTTGGTCTGTGTGTGTGTGTGTGCGCACCTCGGTTTTCCCATCGCCCCATGCGTGCGTTGCCACTCGTGCGTTCCTCCACCCAATGTCGTGTAACCCACCCCCCCCCCCCCCCCCCACTGTGCACGTGTCATCCCGCCCCCCCCCCCACACGCGTGTGTGCAGCGAATACTTTGAGCACCGCCAGGCGCTGATCCCTCTGCGCTGGATGGCGCCGGAGGCGGTGGCGGAGGGCGACCTCTCCACAAAGTCGGACGTGTGGGCCGTGGGCGTGCTGCTGTGGGAGGTGTGCACCCTGGGCGAGCTGCCCTACGCCAAGCTCAAGGACGAGGAGGTGTTCCGAGGTTCGCCCGCCACGTCGTGCCCGCGCTCGTTCACCGGGGCGGGAGTGGGGGGTGGTGTCACACCGCATTGCGTGGCAGTTCAGAAACAATACGTGTTTGCCCAAAATACAAACAAACTTTTTTCGTGATAAACAAAATCTGTTGCAACGTCGCAATCGAGCGGCGCATCGAGCCCGTGCGTGCGAACGACACGGCGCGCACTCGTACATATTTAATTATTTTATTTAAGGCCGGGTCAAAGCAATGAGATGAATCTATCTCATTTACAAGGGTGACCTGGGGGTTAATAAAGGGAGCAGCAATTACAGGAATATAAAAGAGCAAAACAGCACACCTGCTGACTAGAGTGCTGGTGGGGGGGTGGGGCACAGCTGCGTTTTCCCTTCCTTTAGTTTGCCCTCCAGGATACATTCCAGTTCCTCCCCAGTGTCATGGGATGAACCGTTAAACAACGACCCTCCCGTTTGGAACTCTCACAGAAAGCACTGTGATATCACGCTAATCTGGATAACGGCATCGGGAAGAGGACATCACAGAATTACTTCTGAGGTCCTTGCAATTTCCTCTTAACCATAGTGAGTGGTGGTGGCGGCTTGACTTCTCGCGTGCCCTGCTGTGGGCAAGTATTCACTTCATGGCAATCAAACCGAACGTATTTTAGTCCTTGAAGCTATTGTAGGCCAAACTGGGAGAAGACCAACGTGCCAGCAGCAGGGACGGAGCCACAGGGAGGGCTGGGGAGGGGGCTTAGCCCCCCCCTGAAATCTTGGAAAAGTCGGTAATCGGGATTACCGGATATCCGGCTGCTGCAAAATGCTGCAGGCTGCCACCTTGTGCTGCCCTGCAGGCTGCTTGAGCGGCAGTCTTTCGAACTTATCGAACTTATTAGCCACATCAGCGGCTCCGGCCTATTAATAAACTCCGCGTTCAAATCCAATAAAACGTGTTTTATACATTTGTGGCGCCCATTGGAAAACATACACTGGATATCTCAGAATATTAAAGTCAGCCCCCCCAAAGTCAACATCCTGGCTCCGCCCCTGGCCAGCAATCATTGGTGACTGGGCTGAGACCACCCGGGAAACCGGTTTAATCACACGAGCTGGTGAAACCTGGATTCGAACCCGGCCTGTCAGTGTTGCCGGCTCCGTGAAGCCCATCCAACCACCTCAAGAGGCACACACTCTCTTACCTGAGCACGTCCGGCCATTTGGTTCAAGCGGTACTTTTCGCCGCCGTGTGCAAAGTGCATCGGCTTAATTCCGCAGGACCGAGCAGCAATCACGCACTACACACTCCACGCTTCTGGCTGTTCAGCAGAGCGCGGTGGGGGACGTAGAGTGGGGGACGGGGGGACGGAGGAGGCGAGGGGGGGCGGGGGGATGTGGTTCTCGTCAGAGTCACCGTGTTTTCTCCATCCATGGCGGCGTCGGCCCAGGCGGCGCGAGGGGGCGAGACACCCTCAGGAAATGTTGTCGGAGCGAAACGCAGCGCAGCTAAATGTAGGCTTGTAGAGTATTGACCGGCGCTGCTGTGGCTGCTGGACTGCCCCCATCCAATTGCTCGCTCGCCATCTCGCACCATTTGCTCGGAGCTGTGCAGTGTGTGGATTAAAGGCTGATTGGTTTTTCGTTGCTCGTGTCAGCCCGGAGAGTCTGTGAAAATGCCTGGACAAAAGCGCGCCATCTCTCTCTCTCGCTCTGTCCCTCGTTAAATTTCCCCGTCATCAGTGGGAGGCTTCTGCTGACGAAGGGAATCTTGTGCGGAGGGTCTCGTGGTGAATGTCAGCGCGAGCCACTTGGTTGGGTTCCCACGGCTGCCTGATGGTGTGCCTGTAGAGAATCGCCGCCGAGGCGTGCCATCTGCTGCCAAACAGGATTTTAAGACCACCTGATGTCCTTTGCTGTCGTTGGCTGCTGTGTGCCAGTGACCCAGGGCACATCTCAAAATTAAATGTCCTGCCCAACGTGGTGAAGTATGGTCAATTAACCCCCCCCCCTGCCTCGCACCCCTCCATGACCCACATGGTAGAGGGAGGCCCTCATCCAGAAGTGGGTTGGCAGTTACATTCGACCCAGCTGGAAATTGAATAACACGTTAAGTCATGAAGGTTTACAAAGCGTACGTCTCATGGGGCGGTGTAGTTAAGACTCGATGTAGTGAATGGAGTCTGCTGGCAATGTGGGAAGCCTACTTTTGTACAAGATAGACATTTTAATTGTTTTTATTCTTTCCAACTAAGGGTGAAATTGTTGTAGCAGGGTCGGCAGTTTGGGGTCACAATAACTCTTAAAGATGACGGAATATACACGGGACATTGGTGTAACGTTGCATCACTATTGGGGACCTTCTTACCCTATGGGAAACCGACCAAATTGATGAAAGGTTTGCTAAAAAAAACTTGCCGATTTAACGCGTCTAAGGCAGTTGATTCCATTGCTTATGACGTCCCGAGATGATGTTATTGCGCGTAACGTCATCTCGTTGTGTGGATTGGAAAGTAACATTGTTGTTGCTAATTGTAAACCTACGAGGACGCGCTTGTTTTGGAAGCGTTAAACAGAATCCACGCGCATGCAGGATTCTTCATTGTTTTGTTTGGGAAAGCCTCCAGGAAAGTCCCCGCGCGTCTCACATTCTGCGCTGCCTCTCCACTTCCCCCAGCCGTGCAGTCGGGCTCGCTGAAGCCGCTGTCCACCAAGGCGTGCCTGGCGCATGTGTCCAAGCTCCTGCAGCGCTGCCTGGCGCCCAGCCCGCGCGACCGCCCCTCCTTCCCGGACGTCCTCCACGACCTGAGCAGCGTGCAGCTCGACACCAGCGTCTAGCCGGGCATCCGGCCGCACCGCCCCTCCGGCCACGCTGCTCCCACTCCCCTCCGCGTCGAGAGACAGTGAGAGGAAGCAAAACAAAAAATCAAAACAACCCACGGTTAGCTCATGACGGTGTTTTACTCTTCCTGTAAGCGCGACGAGGAAGAAACGGTTTGAGATAAAACCGCCGAGATTGAAAAAACACAAACGCAAAAAAAAACTTGAAAAGAAACTTGTACAAAGACTCTTGCTTCCGAAGGAACGTGTGCGCCGTCGTGAGGCTGTGAGGCCGGGCCGGGCGGCGGAGCAGGCTGCGCGGGCAGGCGCCGAACAGCGGGGTAACGGCTCGACGCCAATGGCGGTCGTTGTCCCCACGTTCGTGGCGGCTGGGCACTCGCGACGACGCGTGCGTCGCACAACGCCGCGCGCTCGATGCGGGCGCGTCGCGAACTGGCGGCGCTGCGACGGTGGCGCCACCATGCAGCTGGAAGGGGGGGGGGCCCTCTCCTCCTGTTTACATCTGGTGCGGAAAATCTACGCTTGAAATTTGTGTTCATCGACCCAGCGGCTGTGCTCGCCAGCCGGCCTTCCACTACCACTGTTGCACCGATAAAACCTTACTCAATGTTGCCTAAAAACGGTTCACTGCAAACATGAAATAAAAACTCTTTCTATGATTTTATTTTTTTAAGCTGTACTGTAGCCTGCACGTGGAAGAGAGTTTGTAATGCGAGACAGCATGGAGTTGTAGGGCTCCTTTGTTAATCCGGTTCACTCTTTCAGCTAAATGAGGCATCCTCGTTTGTGACACTGGTACTCACTCACCACCTGGGACACTCGCCCACCATCTCTCACACTCGCCTGCTGTCTTAAAAGACAAAGATCCCCCGTATAGCCTTAACAGACTGTTGGGGCAAGTTCCATTAGCATATGAAGGCCGACACAGCAGACGAGGGGTCGCCTTTATCTCCCTAGTGCTGATTTTCACCCACCACACCAGATGATACTTTAAGGCTGAGTTGATCTAGAAGAGGCCCAAGACTGGTTCAGATTATCATCACTGATATTGGCCGTGATCGAGAATCGAACTCGGGTTGCCGCGTTACCTGCTACACGATCACTCCCCACTGTCTTAAACGCTCTGCATCTCTCACACACCCACCAGCTCACACAAAGATCCCCCGTATAGCCTTAACAGACTGTAGGGGCAAGTGCTTTTAGCGAGCACCTATGAAGGCCGGAACGGTACACGAGGGGGTGGGTGGCCAGCACCACGCCCGATCGCCTTTGTCTCCCCAGTGTCGATGTTTACGCACTGCACCAGGTACTCATTTGAGGCTGAGTCGACCTAGGGGAGGCCCAGGACCGGTTCAGATAATCGTCACTGGTGTTGGCCGTGAGCGGGAATCGAACCCGGGTCACCGGGTTTATAGCGCAGTGTAGCCCTAACCACTACACTACCGCTCCCCACAATCTCACACCCACCATCTCGCACACTCACCGTCTCACACACCCACCATCTCCCAAACCCACCATCTCACTCGCACACCATCTCACACAATCGCCCACCATCTGACACACTTGTCCGCTGCCTTAAATACTTGCCATTCCTCACACTCGCCATCTGACATGCTCATCCTGAGGCCACAATGCACTGTGCCCGTGAGCAGAGGCAATTGCTGGCATTTTAAACCAAAACACCGCACGGAGGAATTGTGCTTCTCCTGCATTGTGTTGGCAGCGCGATATCCTCACCGCGAAGAGACGCAAAACACGCGTCAAAGACTTTATATCAAGCGTTTTATGTAGAGCATGCGCGCGTGTGTTAAAGTTAGCAGCATTATATTTAAACAGCAGAATTAAGCTTCTAACACTAAGCATTGCAACATCTCAGGCTTGCAGCATTGCCCTGGCGGTGGAGGCAATGTGAAAAATGGGAAACGCAAAGAGACGCTGAGATTTCTGAGCGTGTGGAGTCTTTAAACCCAGCCTTTATGACGATTTCCATTTATTTTATGACGTATATACAACAAAAATAGAAATGTTACTATTGTGGCTGTACTACGATGGGTACCGCTTGTTGACCCCGAGCGCTGGCTGAACGGGTGGTGGGTGCCTTGGCCTCCGAACTCGCCAGCGATGCCGTTGAATCATTACGAGCGCGTCTGGGCCTGGCGCTGCGCGGTTGGGCTGGCGGAGTGGGAGGTGTCGTGGGCTGTGCAAGCAGCCATCGTCTTGTCACCTCGCGGCGCGTGTGATTGCCTGGGAGGAGTGACCCGGGGCGAGCGAGAGAGGTTCGTGCAAGTTGTGCTTTTTTACGATTTTGCCTGGTCTCTCTCGCACCTTAACACGTAAGATCTGGCGATTACCTCCGTGTGCCTGCTGGCCGACCCCCCGTGTGACAGATGGCACCTAGGGAGGCGGTGGCTCTCGCCGACGCAAAGCGCAACGTCTGCAGGCGCCGTTCCGCTGGCCAAAGCGCTCTCGCTCTCCTGTCTCGAGCAGCGACTCGCGCGAGCGACGAGTCTCGTGTCACCGTGGTGTCGCGAGTGAATTGCGTGCGAGAGACGTTCACTCTAACGACACGAGGTCCAATTCTCATGGCTGGCGTCGTGCTCCGCCGCCCTGCCGAGTGGGGTAGCCTGGCCGTGATGAGAACTGGTAACTTTGGTGCTTTGTGGACCTGACTTTTAATTGAGTGGTGACCCGTGTGAGGCTTGCTGGTGTGGCGGCGACACCTACAGGATAGATGTGGGTTTGATGTCTATAAACGAGTATCTGGGCCGGTGAGGCATCTTGGCTCAGCACGCTGATGTGGCACAGAGAGGTGACAAAAACGTGCCTTCTCTCTGTCTTCATCTTGTAGATCTCAACATTTTAGTTTTTTAGTACTGTACTTGTATAGACTTTTTCTTAAAATATGAATTGTCAAGTTTTTACCAAGTATGAAGATAATCAAAAAGCATCTTATGTTCATGTCATCAAAATGTTTACTTTTTTAATGATTTAATACATCAACGATGCTCGTCCCCGCCCCCCCCCCCCCCCCCCCCCCATTGCATCGGCCCTTGCTCCAGGCGATGACTATGGTACGCTGCGCGGCATAGTTGTCACGCTCGTTATGATATTACTTTTGTACGGCACACACTACGCATCAAGGTACGTTATGTGGTCCACCAGGCAGGGACACTGCACGCTATTCGCTCCAAATAGCAAGTTAATGCCGTGCACGCAAGGTGGCTGAAGCGATCGTACCAGGGCTGGATGTCACCGGTTGCAAATGCCGTGGCGCCAGTTTAAAGCAGGCCAGAAATGCCACCTTTCCAGTATCGGGTGATTACGCGTGCAGGTGGATTCATTGGGCCACTGGAACACGATGGGAGTGGCTTCTTCATCACCGATTTGTCCATGACGCTGGCGCAACGCAGCGCATGCAGCTTCCCAGGCACATTGGTCTGGTGGAAACTCGTTATCTTCAGGTATATCGCGATTCATCGATTTAAAAACAAATTTTGGTATGCTCACGATGGGTGCCTAATCGTCTGTGTGAGAATCGATTATAGTGCCCACAGTACTGTTTGGATCGATGTAGCGTCTGAATGCCGCCACATTTTGCGACGCTGTACAGAAATGTTGGGCGTGTTTTGTAGAGAAGGGGGAGTCACGGGAGCAAAAGTAAGGTTTAGAGCCTGGATTTGAACAGGGCGAGGCAGTCCACATCACGGATTGCTTGCGGAGGGTTATGGGACTATCAGAGTAGAATGAGGGAACTCTGCACATTTAAAATTATGTAAAAGCTGAGGTGGAGCGTCTTGCCTCGTCAAACTGCAGCCACTGGACGTCACCGAGTGAGGACACACAGTCTGTTAGTCCATGGGCCAGAGCAGAAATTGGAGATTATATAAATACATTGGCAAATTATTTGATAATCCACTCATTTCAAATGGTTACCACATTTCTCAGTTATTGGTACCGACAAGTGAAATATCTGGCCTGGGCTCATCGACCATATGGGATTAGGGCAAGAAAATATACCAACCCCATGGCCACCCCCGCTCACCTCGGTAATCTTTCAATGTCTGTGCGGCGCTGGAGGGAGAGATGAAAAGGAAAACTCGATGTGTTAGAGAAAGCACAGTCTTTGTTATATTTTTTAGCATGGGATGGAAGTACTGTTCTGTAGTTTGTTTTTATAAAAAAAAAGTGTTTGCATGAATTTTATGTCTTGCCAAGGAAACTTGTGATGTGTTTAATAACGAGGCCGTGCCTCGCACAAAAAAAACTGAAGGAATAGTGGCATCGTTGCTAAAAGTTTTTTTTGGGCTGCCATATACCTTTTGCATAGGTGAACATAAGGGATGATGTCGTTATGAAGTTCAACTGCAGAAAAATTCCCGTTTCACATATGCAGAGAGGGCAGCTGCCCAAATAGTTTTGATATCCATGTTTTTATAAAGTTGCAGTATTGTTAGCAGTGTAACCCAGAGGGGGACATAGGCGGAAGAGCTTTTGAAGTCTGAAAACCACTCAAACCGTCCAGATTCAATTGCATGGTGTTTTTCCATCGCACACACTTCCTGCAATAGGAATGTGGAATTTCCACCACTGATTCAGGCCCGTGTTGAGCAGGAAGACGGCGTTGACTTTTTATTCTTTGGCCCCATCGCCTGGCCTGAAGTGAGCTTGTGCTTTACGTGAACCCCATGTCTTCAGGACTTGTCAAACTTACGTTCTGTGTCACCAGGAGCTATTATCACAAGACGTGTCCTGTAAACGGTACTTTGCAGAGTTTCAAAATGAGAAAATCATAGTCATGTTTACTTTGTACAGTGTCTTCATAATATCCACTCTGGATTTTTATGTTTATTAAAACACATGCTTAAATCTTCACAGACCTGCGTAGCATAGCTTGAGATCATGTTTTTCTATTGTAACTTGTTTTAACAAAATAAAAAATGAGTAAATACCACTGCGTGAGTGCTTCACTTTCACTCGGAACCCACAATCCAGATGTTGCTGTCAATAATGTTCACCCAGCAAATAAGGAATAAACGCTTTCGTTTGTTGTTTTCGGCCATTCGTATTGCACCTGCGATTAGCATGGTTGTTTACGTGCGGTGCGAAATAAGTCCATACATACGGCAGAGATGCTATCACGAAGGTTGTACGGTTAGCCCTTGTAACTTTTACAGAACAGTTCCTTCTACAGGACACGGAAACACACTGTAGAGGCAAAAACTTGTGGTATCTGCGTGGGATTTTGGGGTCATGATGTGAAATCAGCTCCATAAAAATAAACCAAAGTTAGTGTGAAACTTCCTGCATAAATTGGCCTCTTGCTGGGCAAGCTCGGTGCGAGGATCATTATTAATGTTGTTTTCACTTAACATACTGTACAGGTATTCAAAACATCTGGAGGTTTTGCGCACCAATCTAGAATCTAGAGCGTCATGCCTTGTCAGTCTCTAGTCCGCCCAGGGTCGCTAGTCGACTAATCGGCATGTGACTGGCAGCTACAACCACGGCTCGGAAGTATACTGGATGTGGTGAGCCGGGTGCATGAATGTATTTGGTTCGACCCAACTGGCATCGAGCCCTCTGGAAAAATCACACAGCTTTTACAACGGGTGACTTTGCATACACAAGGGCTTGCGTGCGAGAAGCTTTAACAGAAATGAATCC